GAGGCCATCGCTTGTAGGTTGGAGGCCATTGCTGTTAGGTTGGAGGCGATCGCTTGTAGGTTGGAGGCCATTGCTGTTAGGTCGGAGGCGATCGCTAGTAGGTTGGAGGCCATTGCTGTTAGGTTGGGGCGATCGCTAGTAGGTTGGAGGCCATTCCTGTTAGGTTGGAGGCCATCGCTTGTAGGTTGGAGGCCATCACTAGTAGGTTGGAGGCCATTGCTATTAGGTTGGAGGCCATCGCTAGTAGGTTGGAGGGCAGTGCTACTAGGTTGGAGGCCATCACTAGTAGGTTGGAGGCCATCGCTAGTAGGTTTGGGGCCATCTTCAACTTGCAAAAAGAGATGCAGTTTTGATGGCTTTTTCCTGATCTCAGCCTTTGCGCTGGTAGTTCTCACTAAAGACGAATGATGTCACCGAGTCAGAGAAACAACATGAAACAACTGTCATGACCGCCACCCTTCAAATCTGAAGTTTTCCAAACAGATAACTAGAAAAATCAAGGTTATTCAATTGGGCTCAGGAAGGAAACCGAAAGACACCGCCAGAAACCGAGGTGGCTGTGACAAACCTGGTGTCCCAGACGACGCCAGCCAGCGAGGAACTGAGCGGCATCAACGGTGGCAACTACACAGGACGTGGTCGCAACAGAGAAATAACAACACCGAAGAAGATGCAACAGGAATTTAGACGGGTAGACCTTTCATCCCAGAAACTCTTCCCTGTTCTTCACCTTTCTCGACACGAAGAGGTTCTCATCGAGGGTCGGCAGCCGCCTGCAGGAGTGCAAACGTGGACGAAGATGGGCTACTACTGCGCAGATTGGGGTCACTGAGCAAATCTTGGTGAGAACTCAAGTCATAATTTTTTTTGCACTAGGAGCAAGGACGCCACTAGTAGCTCCTGGCATTTCTACTAGGAGCAAGAGGACGCTACTAGTAACAAAGGGCATCGCTACTAGTAACACATCGCTTGCAACGTTTGTGGGCCTAGACCCACCAGCCAGGCCTTTCCACCAACCTCAATCCTGCCTACAACTCCACAAACTACCCGAACTCGGACCTGCGGAAGAACTACTGCCGAAATCCCTTCAAGGCATGTCACGCATAACATGCCGGCATTGTAACTTCTGACAAGAAGCCTGAAAGTCCGCCACAGACATCTCATTGACTGTCTTTTCAGCCAGTTCTCACAGGAATCCGACGTGTACAAGGCCAACACGATTTGGTGCCACACCACGGATAATGAAGTCCGCTGGCAGGAGACCGGCTGGTCGAAGACGATGAACAGACTTGCCTTTACTGCCAAAACAGATCAGCCGCAAGTTGATAACTGAGCACCCTTTTTGATTGACATGGAATCATGCGGGAGAAAGAGAGATACGTAGCACGTACGAAGTTTTGTGGACGCCTGTTCCATTCCTCGTGGATCGATGGGACCCTTGAACTGTAGCAAAGAAGCTATTAGTAACAAGTGGATCGCTTCTAGTAACAAGTGCCTTACTAGTAGTAACAAGGACGCTTGTAGTAGGTAGCAGTACTGTAGCAGAACTGTACAGGTTGCAGTTCCTGGTACCTGCCGCAGCATGCCCCTGTGAGGAGTGTAATCCTATTGGCGTCATTCGACCAGTCTGCAGCGGAGGTCGATGCATGTTTGTAGCGGGTACTTCAGAAATTGTTCTTTTGCTTCTGCACGCAAAGTTACAAGGACTACTAAGGTATAGTTTCTTCATTTCTTCAGGATGTTTCTTCGAATTGAAATGGCAGCATCCTTGATGTTTGCTGTGCTGGTTTAGCGTAGTTGCCGGGGTTACGGGGTTAATCCGAGGCATCTGCGCGGTAAAAACGGTAAACATCGAACATTATATTTGTTTACCGTCTTTACCTGGGGGCGCTCCTTTTTCTTCTACCATATCCGCGGTAAACACGGTAAAAATCAAAAATTATCATTATTTTACCGTTTTTACCGGGGGGGGCACCCCTTTTTCATCTACCATATCCGCGGTAAACACGGTAAAAATCGATCTGTTTTTTAATCGTTTTTACCGGGGGGGGCACCCCTGTTTCGTCTACCATATACGCGGTAAAAACGGTAACAATCAACATTTTATGTTTTTACCGTTTTTACCGGGGGGGCGCCCCCTTTTTTCTAGCATATCCGCGGTAAAAACGGTAAACATCGAAAAGGATTCCTTTTTGTTTAACGTTTTTACCGGGGGGGCGCTCCTTTTTCTTTTACCATATCCGCGGTAAAAACGGCAAAAATCGATTCTTTTTTACCGTTTTTACCGGGCGCTTCCTTTTTCAATACCATATCCGCGATCAAAACAGTAAAAATAATTGTTGTTCTTTTTGTACCGTTTTGATCGAGGGGGGCAAACGGGTCTATTTTTGTTTTTCCAGTTTTTAACGGAGGGTCACCGCTGTTTCTTCTGCCATATCCGCGGTAGGTAAAAATCGAAAGTTTTCGATCCAAGTGATGTAGGCTTTCATTGCCCTGCAAAAGTTAAAAGTCATGAAAGTTTGATCAATCACCAAACTCCTGTTGTCGAAAAGGGCACACGCTCCTATATGATAGGAGGAGTGAACCCCACCTGGTTATAGGAAGATACCCGGGCTGTAACATTAAACCTTTTTGTTGACAGAGGTCTTCTAGCTTGCGACCTGGTCCGGAGGCGAGGCATTCTCGCGGTAAAAAAACGGCCCAAATTGAAAATTACTACTTTTGTTCTTTACCTTTTTTCATGAAGAGTCGCTTGCTCTTTTTGCTTCTACCATATCGTTAAAAATCAAAGTTGTGTTATTATCCGTTTTTTGTAGGTGGACTCGTCCTTTTCCTTTCTACCATCTCCGTGGCAAAAACGGTAAAAATCTGTGTTTTTAATCTTGTTTAAATTTCATATCCGCGGTAAACACGGTAAAAATCGAAAATTTTCCTTTTTTTTCCGTTTTTACCGGGGGGCGCCCCTTTTTCTCTACGATATCCGCGGTAAAAACGGTAAAAAATCGAACATGTTCTTTTTTTTACCGTTTTTACCGGGGGGG